ATGAACAGCTCCGTGATGTGGACACTCTTCTTGATGATAATTCTGAAAATTTAAGTTGACTTTGAATTATCTAAAAGGGGCCTTTTAATGTATGGGTGTTTTTGGTATTTTATATACTGACTTTATATCATTATAAATTCATTCATACATCAAAAATTCCAAACCATCAATTAGAAATCCAAAATTTCAAAAGCCTAAAAAAGTTCTTCTCTTTCAAAATTCTCTCAAGCATCTATTGCAGATAAAGGTCTTGGAGCTTACGAGGATGGATAATTTAAACAGATTTCCTCTCAATTTTCATTGGGTTCTTGAAGATTAAGGTATGGGAGTTCTTTATATAATGTTTACTATCACTATTGGGGAAATTTCAAAGTGATTTCAAAGATCTCAAACTTTATGATCAAGTCCGATTCTCACTCTAAGTCATGGGTTCTTGCATGAAATATTTTATAATATTGAGTTTATTGTCTCTTGAAAGTGCCTAAAATGAATCAAGTGTTGTTCGAAAACGAATGTTGTCCAAGTGGGGGAGATTGTAACACCTTTGAAAATGATATAGGTTAAAGTAGAGCCTTAAGCTTGTGTCTTAATGATTTAAAGTCATAAATGAGTTTTAATGAGATTAGGAGGCAGTAATTAAAGCTTCATGGAGTTTGGAGGTTAAATATTCAATGACGTTCTAAAGGTTTTCCTTGAAATATCCTTGTGTGCCTTAGTGTATTTTCTTGAGTTTTACGGGTTTGTTTTTGATAAAATTGATGTGAGAGGTGCTAAACCTGTATAGGAACATATTCCAGTTGGAAACTTCTTTGTAAAATTTCCCAAGGACCAACCAAGGGTCCTTGAGAAGGACCCATATTGATTGCCAAAATTTCCTAAGGCAGTCCCACCTACGGAGGGCAATCGACTCCTAGTAGGCTGGTTGACGCGCCCCGTAGGTGGTGTCATCGATGGAGACTAAGCCTAGGGAGAGAATGTCTAATTTTCCAATCTTTGATTCCTTTGACAGACTTCCAGGAGAGTCCTTTTTTGGACCAATGCCCCATCGATGGTTACGCGTCGTTCGGGTCGCATCTTGCGTAGGCTCATTGTAAAGTGAAGGGGTGAATTGGTAAATTCACCCCACGTCCAAATAAATATTTAGGAGGTTTTGTAGGGGTGTTTTTGGTGTTTCAAGTGGGTCTATAAGTTCAAAACACCCAGATGAATTCATTATCCAAATCAAAACCCAAAATTTCTATGAAACTCTCTAGAACTCCATTGAAGTCAAAACTCAAGACAGAGCTTGCATTGAAGATCGCTTGGTGATTCTTCATCTATTCTTCATCAAATTCGGGGTCTTCCATCAATTGAGGTATGGTTCTTCATCCTTGAATATCTTTTCTTCAAGGAGCTAAACTTCAAATTGATTTCCAAAATCTTTTAAAGATGAACTTGTCCAATTTTGATATCTATCCATGGTTTCTTGCATGAATCATTATATATTGATTCAATTAAAGTTAATTTGATGGTTTCAACGTAATTACTTTATGAACCCATTCAGTTAATTAACTCTAGTTTTTAGCTAATTTTGGGTGACTTGATTATATCTTTATGCAATTAAATTCTTATGTAGTTTTATTAGGTTTATTAAATTATGATCGAATCATGTTAGAATTGTTAGTATGCTACCAAAAATTTATAAATCTATATTTTTTTGATCTTTGATTCATTGTATATTGTAATTATTGAATTGAATTGGTGATCATGGCCATGGGTAAGAGCCTTTGGGTGTTGTGTTGGATGATTTTACTATGAATATAAGTGTTGAGAGTGAATTGGTGGTATGCTTCCATAACTCTCTTTATATTATGTAATTTAGGTCTTGAATTATGGTTATAATTTTCATGTTCCACTTATGCTGGTAGTGCTATGTTCTTTACTTGTAAGTTATGTGGCCTCATTGACGTTACTTTATGAACTATGATGAACACGACCTTGTCTGCATTAATTTATATATTTTTATAGTTTTTGTCTTTGATTTATATGAAATATGATCATAACTATCTACATGTGAGTAAGGTGAAAGTATGTGTTCTTCTATTTACATTAGGTGACCATGTTAGACTGATTATGTCCTTATATGTATAGTCTTAGGTTTGAGGTATCATTATTCCTACTTGTTATGTAATTCTTATTATGCTTATATTGATGGTATTACAGTAGTGTGAATAGGGTGACCTAGATATGATGTTTGTTATGCCTATGTGCTTCTACAATGATATGTTATATGTGAAGTACGTGTCTGTCTTGTTTTGGTAAACTTGTGTCCCTTACTTGATACATGTATAAGGTCAATATGAATTCTTGGCTTAGTATGCTAAAGATCTTAGTCTTGTATGTGTCACTGACATGTGACATTGAACATTACTAAGAATGTATATTATGTGGAACCTATATCCTAGATGCTATGTTATGATATCCTTGAAGTTGAAAGTCGTAACGTTTCCCTTCTTGTGTAAATGGTAAACTTAAGGTTGTCTTGGTGGAACGACATGAAATCATTCTTAGGGAAGTCATTGAGCTGCACTCTTATCCATTGTAGGTAGCCTTAGTGGACCCTCTTTTGTAAGGTGTAATGTGATAGGGTTGTGAACTAGATTAGAACCTCTTCATGAACTCCTTTAATGAAATACTCTATGATATCAAAGGCTATCACGGAGTGAGTATTGTCAGGGAAGTTACTCTATATAAGATGACATTAGAGAATAAAGAAACCCTTCATATTCCTTAACTATGTACCTGCACGGGATATGTCGTAGTTCTACCATGGGCCCGTAGAACAAACCTCCATCGGAGTAGGTTCATGAATCCGGATTCCATGCATAGATAGTATGGTATATGTAGGTTATTTCCTATTTTCACCATATGGAATACCTACTAATGTTGGAGAAGTTCTATGAAGTTTAGGTGATGGTATGTGGCGCTATCTAAACAATGCAAGATTAGGCTTTGAAGAACTTAGTGAGTGATTTCCTAGGTCTTCTCCAAGAGTATTACTTGAATGTCCTTATATGATGAATATCTTTTCAATGAGCTAATGAATATAATGACTTCAGCTAGAAAGCATGTAAATGAAGTACTTAGCTATACTAGTTTAATGGTTGCTTGGTTAATGTGTGAAGGAGGCATAAAGGATGGTCTCTTCATGTCTTACCTAGGTAAGTCTTAATAATGACTCTAGATAGGGTTATAGATTTATAAAGTGGACATGGTATAAGCTTAGGTAGTCCTAGTGATTATTTAGGTAATCTTGGAGAGGTTGTGTGGGATTTATCTTATTGAATTACTTAAGTAAATCTTTTGATAACCTTGAGGAGGAGAAATTCATAATATATGTGTTATGTGTGAAGTGAGAATGATCTTATCGTAGGTACTCTAAAGGATCTCTTAGGTGTGTGTGAAGGGATTGTGTTGGCGGTGGCTTTATAACTCACTCAAGTGAGACTTAGAATCGCTTTTTATAAGAGGATCTCATGTTTATGTCTTGTAGGTGTTGTTGATGCTATATTTTAATGTGTAAGTTTTACTTGAAGTTACAGTCAAGTTCACTGTAAGCTCACTGTAATGTCTTATAATTTGGTATAAATTGCCTAGCACTTACATTGTGTTATAATTAAGATGTTTTGTTCTTAAATGTGATTCTTATACTTTGAAGGTGACATTTTAATAAAAAAAAGGCATACTTGTCATAAATGTCTACTTCTCATGATTTTACTCATTAAGCCATAATTAGTACATGTGTTTGTACTAATTCTTTTGTCTATATCTAAAGGTGTGATAAACAAGTGAGAGGTAACTCTGAGAAAACTTTGAATCTAGTAATCCTTTAAGTAAACTTGAAATATATCCTCATTTTACTTAAGGGCATAGTTATCTTTAGATTTATTTTATTCAAGTATTGTAATAGATTACGTTTCTATATTTCATTAATTTTGGGCTGTGTCCCAAATATGCTTGATTCTATGCTTGACATATGTTGAGACTTGGTGTTTTTTATGTTTTTAATATAAAAGGCATTTTGATTATATATCATGCGAAATTTTTTAATTCCACACTACTTTTCATACATCTTATGCAATGAATGATGTCAAGGGCTTTTACAAGACCTCCGAGAGGTCAAGTACACCATGTCTCACTCCGAGAGTGTCATATCTTCTATGGTGTACTCTGGGATGTGACAAAGTTTGTATAAGAGCATAGGTTATGAAAGTGTCTTAGGAATCAAAAGTCTCATAAAGCCACATCTATTAGAGTCTCAATCATAGGTGTGACTCGCGACACATATATAGGTGAGAGTCTATAGGATGATAGAGTTTCGCTTATCTCCCTACTCTTGTGTCGTGCCGTAGATTTGAAAATTATGAGTGTCTTTATTAATGCTTTTCTTTCTGTTTTTAGGAAAATTACTACAAGAACAATTACCACTAGAAGGTTGGAAGAGTAAAGGGTGGATGAGGAGATTCCTTCTAAAGTTGAGCAAGTTCTTCAAGGTGCTCAAGGAAACCAAGGAGCTATAAATGCTCAATTTGCTATTGTGGAAGAAGGTAATGATGTACCGGTGGTTCCCCTGAAATGACTAATGGGAAGATTAAAGATGCTTTACTTGCTTTAGCCCGAGCCATGACTATTTCTGTGAATAGGGGTGTTAAACCTAGAGTGAATTCTATGTAGAGAAACATGACATATAGATTGAGAGATTTTGTAGGAATGAATCCTCTTATCTTTCATGGCTTTAAGGTGGGAGAGTATCCCCAAGTGTTCCTAGACGATGTTTATAAGGTGTTGAGTACCATGGGGGTGACTTCTAGGGAGAAGGCGGATTTAGCTTCGTACCAATTGAGGAGGTTGATCAAGTGTGGTACACTCAATAGAAATATAATAGGTCAGTTGAGTCGGTTCCTATAGAGTGAGAGGAGTTTAAGGAAGATTTCATAGGAAAGTACTTTCCTAGTGAGAGGATGGAGATGAAGGTTGAGGTGTTCATTAATCTCAAGCAAGGAAATATGAGGGTTGAGGAGTATTCCTTGAAATTCACTATGTTTTCTAGGTATTCTCAATCCTTAGTGTCTAACCCTATGGATGACATGAGTAGGTTTGTGACCCGTGTCGCCGAACTTGTGAAAGAAGAGTGTCATACAGCCATGCTCTATGGTGATACGAATTTTTATAGACTAATGGTTTATCCTCAATACATTGAGGAGTCTAAGATTAGTAGGATTTCTAGAAACTTGAAGAGAAGTGGGTCAAGTGATCAAAACCAACATAGGTTCAAGAAGACGACTCCAATTCAATATGAACCTAGGGGTCCTAAGGTGAAACTTGAGAAGGGTAGTGGTTCTCAAGGTTTTAAGCCTACTTCGGCTACTTGTGCGAAGAAGCACTATGGGAAATGCCTAATCGGTACCGAAAATTGCTTTGGTTGTGTTAAGGATGGGAATAAGGTAAGGGATTGTCTTAGTATTTCGTCTAGAGGAAAGGACGGTAAGAAAGTTCCTTTAAGTGTTCCAGGTAATAATGTTCCTAAGAAGACTCATTTATATGAACTACGGGCTGTGGGATCAAAGCAGGATGATGATGATGATGATGTTTGTAAGTTATAGCTTCTCTTTTTTAGTTGTTATGAGTTCCTTCTAGGTGGAGGAGTACGATGAGTAGTGGAGTTTTGATTGATTGTCTTTTCTTTTTTATTCAACTCATGCTTGAGAGTTAGAAAGTCATAGTAGCATGTTGCATGTTGCATGTTGTTTAGGACTCTTGTTGGAATTGAATTTCCTTGATTCCTTCCATTATGCATTTAATGAAGTTACGATTATGTTTTGAAATTGAGTTTATATGGTATTCACTCATATTGTCATGCTTTCATCATAAATTTCTTAAATGTTGCATTTTTTAAGCTCGGAGCTTTTTGGTCGCCTGCTATCTTATCTTGAAACCTCTTTGCACAAAAAGAGACTGAGATGACGAAGTGGATGCGCCTGCGTGGGGGGGCTATTGAACAACTCGAAAAAGCTCGTTCTCGTTTACGGAAAGTAGAAACCGAAGCCGAGCAGTTTCGAGTGAATGGATACTCCGAGATAGAACGAGAAAAAATTGGACATGTTCACTGTAGGGGATTTTGTAGTCACTGTAAAGAAATTTAAATTTTGGTTGAAAATGGTTGTAATATGTATATAATTTATGTATATTAGAGTGATAATAAATGTAGAAGGATTTCCTTATATTTCAAATGAAGAATGTGATTCATATTGCATGATGAGTCGTAGAGTTGTTTCTATCATCTTGTTGTGTTTTGAGTCTATATAAGTATGTGAAGTTCGTGTTCTTCCTGATTGTATATTGTGTATGGTTTTGTATGGTTATGCTCTACTAGTACTGAGATTCTTGTCTCTTGAAAGGTCCTAAAATGGAGCAAGTGTATTTCGAGGAAGAATGTTCTTCATGGGGGGGGGAGATTGTAACACCTTTAAAATGACTTCGGTGAAACTAGAGCCTAACACTTGTGTATTAATGATTTTAAGTCCTAACATTATAAATGTTTTTGAAAATGCTAGTTGAGTCCATGAATGTGTTTACTGTCATTCGAGGACAAATGTTTTTCTATGTGGTGTAAAATGTAGAGACCCTCATAATGAACTAGATATTCACTTGTGTTCATAGGTTAATAATTTGTTAAAACAGTAAATTTTAGAGTTTGATGATTGTATGGTAAGTTTGGAAGTCAAACTTTAAAGGAAGACCAAGGCTCTCGACGACTAGACGTCTACGCGCTTGTTTGTGTTCTTGTGCACCTTTGCATGTTTGGTAAGTTTTTTTAGGTTAAAATTAATAGAGAAGGAACCAAATACCTATATGACCATGTTTACGCATTTAATGTTTTGGTATCACTCCATGTAGGACCAACAAGGGGATCAAAGGAGGATCCTAACTCTAAGGCAGAAACTGCCCAATCGACGACCACCATCAATGGGTAGATTGAATGACGCCCGGTTGTTCTGGGGTGTCATTACATCTTGGGAACACGCCCTATATGTAAACGGTTTCATCATCCTCAGAGAGGAATACAACTAGCCTCCTGTCATTCATCATTACATTCATAGGTTAAAAAGTATAAAAAATTAAAACTTTTTATCCATCTCTACATCAGAAGGTTTAATTCGACCTATAGCTTAAACATAATATATTCATAGCGAGTATAGATAGACTCCTCGTATAGGAAGATTACATAGTCTTCTACTTTTATGAAACATTTGATAACTTACATAATATAGTCTTAATAAGGAAGTCTCATATTAAACCATCTAAACAGAATAGTCAAAAAATGGAAAAGCCGATACACAAATGTAGACATGTCATTTATGGCTTACAACAATATCATGCAACAAAATGAATGTAACTATTGAATTTAGACTATAACAATGTAATATAGGTATAGTGATAGAAAGGACTCATCCTCGGAGCATGAGGACTTACCCATAGTTGGAGAAACGATCCAAGCCTTCCTTCAAAGTGGTCACGAAGCCTTAAACGACCGGAACCTAAAATGTTGGGGAAAAAAAGAGAAATGGGGTTAGCACATCACTTGTACTAAGTATGGTAAATATGCACATACAACATAGAAATCATGCTAAAAAGGGACTTTTTTTATAGAAGCATGCCAAGTTAATTTGAAAAGTCTTATGCACAATACAAAACACATATAAGGCAAGAATCAAAGACTCTTGCAAAACCTCATTCAAGCTAGAACTTAAGAGAGCAATATGAGTGAAGATTTTGGACGTTTTCTTCACCAAATGTCTTGGGTCACTTCATATAAAGGAATAGTAGTTCATCTTTGAACCTTGTTTTATTCAATGAGCCATTCAAAAGACATTTTCAAAATTGTTTTCAAACTCCAAATTATTCTATTTTTTAATTTAAGAATGTTTCTTTGCATTAAAACATTTTAAAGAATGAAATATGTTATTTACAATTTTAGTTGATGATTTTAAGTTCAAAATCTGAATGAACGAGTGCTCATGCATATTATAAACTTTTGACATATGGAGTGGGCTTAATGTATATGCCTAGAATATTTTAGAGTTGTGTTCCCTATGTTATATTGTGGATTACCTACTGCTTATTTATTCTTTATTATGATGTTTATGTGAAATATTGAGAAAAGGTGGTACAGGCTTGGATGGAGAGTAAGTTGATCTATCTTTCTTAGTTGTTTATTTAATTGATCTTGGCTGCTATTTCGATCTTTAGTGGTGGTTTTTACTTGATGTATTTGTATAAATATGTGTATTGTGAATATGGACTTGAAGGCATAGATGTGAAGTAAAGTAATAATTTTGATGGTTAGGCATGTGGTGTTTTATGATGTTCTTTAGGTGTTTCTTGAAGATCTTATGTCTAAATTCAGAGCACATATGTGTGAAGCATTATAGTGTGTGAATTATGATGAATATCGGTATGAGCATTTTTAGACGTAAAATTTATGAATATGTGAAAGGTGTACTCACATGTACTCACACACACTATTAATGTATGAATTATTTATGAATGAAAATGGCGGATTGTAGGGCAGACACTGTTTGTGAGTAGAGATAAAGTGACTGGACCATTACCTACTATTACTAAAGAACTCTAGTAATGAAAAGGGGGATTTTAGGGTGGACACTCTTCATGATTTGATATGAAGTGTTTAGTAGAAACATCACTATTCCCTAAAGCTTTCCAAGATAGGTTGGAGGTGTGATACTCTTCATGAGTTGAGATGTAGTATTCAAAGTAACCTCTAGGGATGAGTACTCTTTGTATGTTGAGATGTAGTGCTAAATACTTGTCCCTTAACCTATAGTCAAAGAATGTTTAAGACTCTTTGGGGGATTCATGCTTAGCACCGAGATGATTTGAATAAGGAGTGGGTACACTTCGTAAGTACAAAAGTTGTAGCAAATGTACCTCTTTAGATGAGTGCACCTCATTAGTTCACAATGGGTTACTTACAAGCAATCTCCTTATCCCTTAACTAGGCACCTGCATAGGTGTATCTACTGGAGAATCCATGTAAAGGCTAAGAGTATGACTACCTTAAGAAAGTGGGGATCTCTAATCCGGTAGGGGTTAATACTGCGATTCCATGTCAAGCTCTCATGGTCTATGTTGGTTAAAGCTAGCCCTTACGGTAGGTGGAGGAATGTGACTCTATATTTCCATTGCACAAGTACACATTTTGAAGAGGTTTTGGTGTGTTCTTATATGAAATTGTATGAAGTAATGTGATTTTATGTCAAATGTTGCGAAGCATGATGATAATATGTCTTGTATGATGAAAGCTATGTATATGATGAATGTAATGTGCGTAGTATAAGAGAATCTTCAAGGATCATTAAGGTGGGAGTAGTACCATGGGATGCTTATTTCACGTTTCACTAAGTGTAACTTGGGAGTTGTCTTGGGGGTGGTCCTTTATCTGAAGTTCCTATATGCATGTATGTTCATTTAGGGTCGTTAGTATTAAATTTTGACTTGTTAAATGAAATGAAGCATGCTTGTCTTTGGTAGTCTTAAGGATCGCTTAGGTGGGTATGTAAGATGTCACGACCCAATGTACACCCTAGAAGTTAGGGAATCCTTCAAGTCAAAACACGATGTACTTGACCACTCAGAGGTCTTGTACAAGCCCTTAGACATCATTCATTGCATATATACGAAAAGTAGTGAGGAATTAAACTTTTCTTTCCAAACATAATACAAAATCATTTTATTAAACTTGTCACATATATCTCAATAACCATTTATGAATTCATGAGAATAATAGTCTCGGGTCACAACCCATAAAAGACTAACATATAAAAGAACAAAAAAAAGGCATAGAAGTGTTCTACTCGGATGCTATGAGGACTCACCAATCTTCACTTCTTAACCATCCTAGGAAACTCTACCCTTGCAAGAAACTCAATATCCTCAAGACCCAACATTGGATTAGAATGTATGCAAAATATGTGTTAGTACAAAACCTACGAAGTATGGAAACTATCATACCAAACAAAATATATCCCAAATGGTAAGTCTTTAATAGACACAGTCATATGAGATAGAAGTATAAGCGTAATAACGCATCATAAAGCATATAATGGTTCATATTTAACTCATTTTCCTTCTTACTCAAATGGACTACTTCACAAGACACGTCCAAGTATACTTGTCCAAGGCTAAGGTAGGATCCCATACGACTACCAAAGCTATGTGAATCTCTTCGGTAATTCTTGATCATAATCCACTTTCATAATTAAGGCATAGATTAATGATAACATATGAGAACTATGCCCCAAGGCCACCTCAAACACATTTGTGCAATGCATGTGAAACATCCCATTCTACCTCACAGGCTAAACTTATCTTAAAGGTACCCTATTTTATTTTAGGTTTGGAGTCTCTAGTAGACCTACTTCATATTGACAAGGAACTATCATATTAAGTAACCCTTTTCATGGAAAGCAACCATAGAAACTACTCAAGCTAAATATACATATGATATTCTGGACATGTCATAGGTAGCTTCAAGTCATACTTGTGCCATGTATGGATAGCATTTTACACTAACCATATACAC